GTTCCATGTAAAAGCAGTTTCTTAGGAAATGCTTTTACGACAGCACCTATTCTAATATCACCTGATTTTAACAAACCATTCATTTTACAGATGGATGCCTCAGAACTAGGCCTCGGAGCCGTATTGTTACAGCAAGGGGAAGATGGGAACCTTTATCCTATCTCATACTTCTCCAGAAAACTCCTAGAACGAGAGAGACATTATGCAGTACCAGAGAAGGAGGCTCTTTCTGTTTTCTGGATGCTAAATCTGTTAAGACCTTACTTATGGGGACGTAAATTTACTCTCCAAACCGATCACCGAGCTTTGGTTTGGTTGCAGAAGATAAAATCTCACAACCAAAGATTGCTAAGATGGAGTTTAGCTTTGCAAGACTTTGATTTTGTACTACAACATATTCCTGGAAGACTAAATGTTGTGGCAAATGGTCTTTCTCGAATGTACAGTGATGAGGTAACTGATCATTAAAAAAATGTATTGCTGTTATTGGTATATTTCTTACTTTGATACTTTGTTAGTTCAAGTGTAATTTCACATGTATTCATATTAAGTATTAGTAATTACCTTTCATAACCAAGGGTTAAAGTAGTTTTCAAAATAAGAACTTTAAACGTTCTAGATTTTGTGACTTCTAGGGGTGACATGTGATGAACTTGATTATGAAAGTTAAATAGTGATTTACTTTATAGGTACAAAGTTAGTCTGGAAAAATCCTTTTGATTTCTGTGTGTGAGTAAGAGAGGTAAAATTTCCAAGGACGGTTACTTTTGCAGTTTGCAAACCCTGTGCAAACTCTGTGCAGCTCAAGGTGACCTTTATCTTGTAACCAAGCAACTATCTTAGCCCAGAAGGAGCAAGGACATAACTATTTATTTAAGATTCATGGGAAGGAGAAGAGAAGAGAATTCCAACATGAGAAGAGAGAAGGTTGTTCCAGCATGGAGAGAGTTAGAAGATGGACGTCAGAAGAACTTTATTCTTGGAAAGGACAGTAAGACTGGCTTCTACCTAATAGAATCTACAGTTTTGTTGAAAATGTAGTTTTACTGGAATTGAAGGTTAGCCTTCCTCTAAGTATAATAGTTAGTGGTTTGTTATTTTAGTTTTTTATAGAGGAATTCTGTCTTTTGGTGATGGCTGGGGTTGGAAATAATTGATTATGGAAATATGTCTTGTTTTACTTGCTTAACCAAATTTCTTTCTTATCTTTATATTTTTCTAATAAAATATAAAAATGCTAAATGTCTGGAAGTTGGCTTCTTGGATAGACCATAAGCTACAATAGTTAATTGGCTTATTTAGATTGATGTGCTCAATACGGCCACGTTTACTTAATGCTACCCTTTGGGTCCTACATGTACAAAGAATGCTAGGAAGATTAGATTCCTTAGAACTCCTGTAAGTGTTTTTGTTCTTTCTTAAATCGGGTCAGACTTGGGCGAAAGAGTGTTCAGCTGCCCTAGGGTAAAATTAATGGACCCGGTTTTGCCTGGTAAAGGAGCTGATCATTCCGGACCCTCTCTGTCTTGTGTAAAAGCAGTTTCTTAGGAATCTTGGCTTTTAGGACAAATGCAACTCCACCTCAGTTTTTATTCTCTTTGTTCTTTTTGATCAGTTTATATCCCTCAATTGCTGTATTCCAGTCATGGGAGTCATCCCACCGTATTTCACTTATTCCTATCAAGTCACACTTACCCTCCTGAATTAAAATTTCCAGGTCTTCTTGCTTGTTTCCCATACTCCTGGCATTTGTATACACACACCCTAAGGGGTGTGATTTGTGGCCTATTTGTCTATGTACATTTTTATGAATATTATGATGATTATTATTATGTTTATTGTTATGTTTGTTACTGTGATTATTATTGTTCAGGTTATTATGGTTGCCCTTTTTATCAGTTTAGTCCATTCCTCTTTTTGTGTGTAAGGCTTCATCTACCCTTAACCTTGTGCTTGCATCTCCCCTCTTTCCAATTCTGTTTAAAGCCCTCCTGATGAAGTACTTCATGCTGTGGGCAAACACATTCTTCTCAGTTCCTGTTAGATGCAAGCCATCTCTTACTAGCAGTCTTTCTTCCAGGAAGCCCATGGTCCTAAAATCCAAATCTCTCTTGTCGACATCACCTTCATAGCTAGTCATTCACCCAGAAGATCTTCCTTTCTCTTTCTATTCCTCTTCCAAACACCAGTAGGATAGAAGAAAAAGCTACCTGGGCCCCAAAGTTTCCTTCCCAGAGCTTCAAAGTCAGACATGATTTCTTGGTAGCTCCCCTTGGCTGTGTCGTTCATTCCCACGTGGACAATAAGAAACAGATATGTATCTGTAGGTTTTATGAGTGATGGCAATCCTTCTGCCACATCCCTTACCGCTCCTCCAGGGAGACAGCATACCTGGAGAGGCCATGGATCCTCCTGGCATAGTTCGGTCTCAATTCCACATGGTAGGGAGTCCCCTACTACAACTACTCTCCTCTCATTCTTTTTGTGCACACTGGTCATGTTGTGCTGTGTTTCTATCAATTGTGTGTGTGTCATTTTGCTTTTTACATTTCAATACATACAATTATTCTCTTGTTTTGCCCTTGCACATAATTTCCTTTCTTAATCTTACATTCACCATTTTCAAATGTTATCACATAGCCTGCTTATCTAATGCAGATACACTCAGTAAATTGCAATCTAGCTGTGGAACATAAAGTACACTTTCAAGTTTCTGTCCCAAACCTGGTATAAAGACTGTGCCTTCAGCAGCAACTTTTAATTTATGTCCATTGGCCAGGCTCACACTTCGTTGCTCCGATGCACCTAAAGAAGAAAATAAATCTTTCTCATTAGTTAAGTTTACAACTGCACCACTATCAATGATCCAGCAAGCTTGCTGGCAAGCTTGCAGAGTGTCCTTGGATTTATCCCTTGTTGACTGAACAAGAGAAATCCTCCCCTTTTGCTTTTCACTTCTGGCTTCTTGACTGCATCTGTTGCTGGCTTTTTCACAGTCTCTGAGAAGATGTTGCTCAGATCCACAGCTGAAGCAGCCTCTCACGGTCATGGTGCGGCTATTCTGATCTCCCCTCCTAAGAGCTGTTTTCTTGTGCTGTGTGTTGTAATCTGTCTTCTGCCTCAAGCCGTCCCGGTGCCTTTGATGCAGGCTGTCTGTTTTTTCTCTGCTATCATATCTCTCATTCCGATGCTGTTCCTGCTCCAGCAATCAGCGCGTCAAGTATTCCAGAGTCAGATTTGCATCAGGCATTGACTCTAAGCTCATAACTAGAGTATCATATTCATCAGATAAACTACTTAAAATTAGGTAAACTTTATGGTCTTCTGGGAACTGGACTCCCCTTTGCTGTAGCTCATTAAATAGGCTTTTCATTTTTTGTAAATGTCCAGAAAAGCTCTCACCAGGCTGTAAACTACATCTGTAGAGCTTTCTGGTTAAAGACACTTTAGAGCCTGCCGTGTCTCTCACATAAAACCTTTTGAGAGAGTCCCAAACTTCTTTCGCTGTAATTAAGCCTTGCACATGGACTAGCTGGCTGTCTTCTAAACAAAGTATCAGCGTGCTCAAAGCTTTCTCATTAATTTTCTCTTCCTCCTCATCAAAGCCTGGCAGGGGGTTGGCAACGATTTGCCATAATTCTTCCCTCCTTAACAGCATCTCTGCTTTCATGGACCAGGTCTAGTAATTACTGTCATTTAACTTTGTTAAGGGAAAGTCTTTCCCAAACGCGTCCATGCTGCCTATTCTTGTATCAGTCCTCTGTTTTCTTTCCCCTCCTGGGCTTCTAACAGCAGAACTGCTCTCTTCTAGGACCTCTATCTCTTCCTCCATTCACTAGAGTGGCACCCTCTGGTACTCACCAAGGATCTTTTCATTAGGCGGTCTGCGCAGGGTGCGTTGCTGGGCCCATAACCTTTGTTATCTTAGTCTGATGTACCTCTTCTTCCTCTCCAGAATTATCCTCCACACTCCCCTGAAGGACTGGCTCAGCTTTCCATGGCAGGGGTGAACTCTGTGTCATGCAGACCTCACATGTCAACAGGTCTGCCACCTCTGTTGCCATTGCCTCCTCCAGAGCTATGTTAAAGGTCAATTCCTTCTTAGCAAACAAACGCCATTGCAGTTTCTCATCCCTCAGTCCTGGATCTATTAGTTATGGATCTATTAGCTCAAAATCCACACTCTTTTTCTGGATAGACTCTGTTTGCAAGCACCTGGAGCCTCTTCAGCATGACACGGGCAAGCAGCTTCCTTACAATTCTGAGAAGAGAGATGCCACGGTAGTTATTGCAGTCGCCCCGTCACCTTTGTTCTTATACAATATGATGATGTTTGGATCTTTCATGTCCTGTAGTACTCCACCTTCCCTCCAGTAAAGACAAAAGATTTCATACAGCTTGGTGGTGATGATAGCCTATGCTATCCTGAACTCAACTGCTCTGAGAGCTCATTTACTCAGATGCAGGGATGCTGCCAGTTTGTCTATTTATATGCTTGTATATTTGTAAATAGACTTTGGTGTTGGGAACTATAATTGTCTGAGTCTTTTGTTCCACTAGAACTGGGGAGCTGGAGAAGATACACACTCTGCAATTATTCTTGATAAATTTGATTAGCATTCCCTGCACCCCTTGACCCTGGTCATTAATGAAAATTTTGAAGAGCACTGGGCCCAGGACTGATCCCTGGGGTACCCCACTTGTTATGTCCTCCCATTGTCAGTCAGCTTTAACACTTATATGAAAACTTCATCAACTCCAGCAACTTTACTCATTTTTTAAAAAAAATTGTAATAGCCATATTGTGTTTCTAATTTTTGTGTTTCTAATTCAGTATTGATCACTGGTACAATAGATTCTGTTAGTCTGTTATTGTTATACACTTTTTAATATAATCACCCTACCCTAAGTATCAGAGAATTGTTTCTATACAGTAGAGTGGGCATCATCATTTTCTGAGTATGCCTGCACCTTCCTTATCTTTTTATGCATGGTAAAGGTGTTATGGATCTTTTTAAATTTTTCTTTCTCAGTACATTGTTCAGACTTCTATTTTTCTTTGGCTCATCTAATCCTGTTTTGGATATTGTTCTGCACTTCCTATTTGATCTCATAATTATTTTTACATAGTTGTCTCCCTTTCATCAATTCTAGTTTTCCTTAAATTGTTCACTTCTTTTTCATTTATGTTTCTACTTTTGAGATTGTTCTGGGCCACATTTATTAATACTTTGATCAAGTTACAACAAGTAGTAGTTATATGAATTAACTGATTATGTAATCCTATTGATGACATCATGAATCCCCTCCTTAACAGCTGTGTAGAAATATGAATTTTTTTGTGTGTGCCTGCACTGTCCACAAGATATTGGTACATGGCCGGAAGAAGTAAATTTTAAACATGAAAGCTCACACTCATTGTTCAGTTTTTCAGTGGTCTAATAAAAGTATCACTTTCTCCTGCATTTGTATTGTGTAAGGATCACATGGCAGTCTTTGTTGCTTTTTTAGGAATAGGCATGTTTTCTGTAATAATTTTCATCACTTATCTCCTCTCTTTTTCTTTTGCTGCCACCAACCTGTAGTTGCCCCTATGTGTGAGCATTTGCCTTTACTTAAATGCATTAATTACTCAAGACCTTATAACACCCTCCATATAGCCAGCCTCCAGATGTTGATCTTTCCACCATTCCACTTTAATTAATAAGATTTTATTAAAATAATGGTGTCAAGTGCTATTTATTCCGAGGCTTTAAATTCATTCAGCACAATTCCCCACTCTGTCATATCTCTCCCTTCAAACTCCCAGCTCTTTCATTAAAATTTACCCTCTACATAATCTCTGTACCATCCAGACTGTTCCAAAAACCAAACAAACCCTTAATTCCTGCAGTTTTTCCCAGCCTATAAGAACAATTCTTACCAACATTCCATGCTCCTCACTCACCCTCTCCAATCGCATACTGACCGAACTAATTCATTTCAAACAATACCCTCACCATTATATTAAAAATGTGTTTAAACATAACTGAGCATCAAAGTGACAATTCCTTCATAAAATAGTACAATTTGTTTTCCATATTATTTTCATGTTCCTAGTTAATTTTTCTCCCTGAAAGAACTTAATAGGACAATTTCCCTATCATAGCATTAAATGCCCCACTGTGATATTTATGTATTGCTTTTTCATATATTTTACGAGACTTTTGAGGTCTGCACAGATATTTATATGCTTTCTTCCCCTCTTTCAACAGCCGGGGCATATACTTTTGCACTGCTGATGTCTGTTAGATTTCCCTATAGTTAGATAAGAATTACCATAATACTACTCCATCATGCTGCCATGCATCATTACTGCCTGAATAAAACATAAGTCTCTTTCTGCATTTTGAAGAGATAGTAGCCAATACATTTCCATTACTTGAAGGTTTCAAATGTTCATCACTTTTTTTACTGCATTGTGAATCCTGCCTCATACATGCTTTCTACATTCCAGGCATTCTACATTCTTTATCTAACTTTTACCCTGGATATTCTTTCTGACATCTAAAGCCTGCTAGGGACTGAAGGCCTTTTCATATTTCTCTCCATCTGTAACAAGCATACCTGTAAGAAATAATGTATGTGGGAAACTTCTGCTTAAAGGTTGTAGCTGCATTCTGTTCCAATGACATGCAAACACTCCTGGCAGGATGCCGCAGCTGCCAGGGGGTGGGGTAGCCCCTTATTCTGCCCTTTCACTTAGAGGAAGATCAAAGGGTTATTTTAGCCAATCCTAGTTACAATTAGGTAACTAGTATCCTATCTGTTTCCTCTCATAACATACTATGTAATCATGTTCAGTCAATAAAAGAGCCCTCAGGGTGTTGCCAGTTGGCTCCGCTGGCTCGGACTTTTGCGGTCAACTCCTTTGTTCTCTCTCTAAGGCAATTAGCCTTCCTTTGTACCATGATCACCCACAAATGTACTGGTTTTCTGATGTCTTCCACATATCAGTATCATAGCTGATTATAACAGCTACCATTGCATGCATAGTTTCCCCTACCAAAGGCTAACTGGCATGCTTCACCTTGGTCTCCAGCTGGTATTGGTACTGTCACTGCAAAACGACATTTGAGTTTAGAGATGAAGTAGTTTCCCATAATCCTCTAAATTAAGCTCCTCCACCCAAAGCTCCTGGGTTTCCTAGCAGTAATTAATCATGTACACAACATAACCAAGGTACCTGGTGCAATTATTCACCAATTTCAGTTCAGAGGCCAAGGTGCTATACTGAAGAAAATAGTCTTTTCTGCTAACAGTCTGTGAGGCCTAACAGCATTCATAGAGACTACCAGGAAATTCCCTGTTTGATAGAAAAACATTCCTAGGGTCTACATTTTTTTAAAGTAATTACGATGGTGGTTGTAGTTTTTTTGGGCTTTTTGGCCATTGTGATTGATGGGAGCCAGCACTGAAAAATATAGCCTGCAAAAAGGTCAGTGAACTCTACCCAGCCACAAGGACCATTGATCACTGCACCAAAAGACTAGCTAACAACACCCATCAATCACAGTGACAGATCATCTCCCCCTTATCACAACAATGCACCCATAACCAAAAATACCCTGATAACCATAATCACCCAATCTCTGGAAAAGAACAAAAGCTGATCCCACAGTTACAAATACTCAACTATCCCACACACTACACCAGAACAGAGTTCTACTCCTGTCTTCTGAAGATGCCGGCCACAGAGACTGGTGAAACGTTAGGAAGAAAAACCTCCAGAACATGGCCGAACAGCCTGAAAAACCTACAAGAACCATTGGATCCCAGCCATTAAAGCCTTGAAGAAAACTAATTACCCTTAAAGTTCCTTACAGTTCATTTGTCATATGCTGAAGTATTTGAGGAAACCTGGCATGGGAGCTTCAGATGTATAGAAAAAACGTATGTAAATAGCTGTGTTTCATTTTAGATTATCACAAAGTATTGTACTCACCACACCAGAAAACTCAAGTTTCTTCCTCCTGGCTAGATCTGTGATATTACTGAGGTTGTAGAATATGCTCTCCATACAGCCTTTAAAATTCTTTCGTGTGTTTGAACTTGGCTTCCCAGAAGAAGGCATACCACCAAACGTTATCTTTGAAAGACAAAGTGAAATGTGTTATGATAGGGTGATAATTCATCCCACCCTAAACCTCTGTGTAAAACACAGAGCCATAGGTAATTTTAAGTAATGCAAACTTGTGCAGAAACTTGTTATCTCTTATTGAACATTTTAGGGCTAGCTAGATGAATCAGTGAGTAGCCTTTGAACATGTGTTTTGATCTAGTGATTATACAAGGGGACAGATGCATGAATGTTCCATGATTTGCAAATGGTTTCTTGGATAAGAATCCTTTGATTGTTCACTTGAGACTGCCCACAAACAACTGCACTCCTCAGGAATTTTCAAATGAAATATTGATATTAAGTCACAGGTACAGTTATGATGTCTATTCTGATAAACTGCCTAGATGGGAGACCATCAATACAGTATGCTGTTTTTTTTTGTCTGTGATGTTTGACTTTAGTAGAGTGAATGTTTAAAGTAGAAAATGGCTATTTCTAAAAATATTCGGATAGCTTGAGCAGCCAACCTATTTTGAAATGTGATTTCTAGCACCTCTTTCTTTTCTGAATTCAGCTTGAACATCTGGCATTTCCCTCCCCAAATATGGTAAAAGCTTTATTGTAAAATCTGGAGCATCACTTTCCTTTCATGAAATTAATGCAATGATGCTTTACTTGCTACATTCTTTGATGCCCCCTTTCTTTGACATTGGGGTGTATATTGAACATAACACATCTAATGGATCATTGGATGAAATCCTGTTGACATAAGTACAAATGCATAAAGATGCTATCAGCAGGGGGGATTTTTCAGAAATTCAACAGTTCCTATTTTTCTCCCACAGTTTACATGGCTCCTGTGTTATTCCTTTCAGAATCAAGAAGCTACAGGAACTGCAGAACAGAAATAAGATATATTTAATTTCTGAAAAATCACCCTTGTGATGATATCATCAGCCTTACATGGTCATCAGGTAACCTCCCTGATGGACAAAGGGAATGCTGAAGACATAGTATATCTTGACTACAGCAAAGGTATTGCCAAAATGCTCCATTGTATTCTGATTAGCAAGATAACTAAATGTGGGCTGCATCGAACAACTGGCAGGTGGATACACAGTTGGCTACAGAATCATACTCAGAGGGTGATGTTTAATGGTTTCTTCCCAAACTGGGATAAAGTAACAAATGGGGTACCCACAGTACCGAGCCCAGTGCTCTTCAACATTTTTATTAATGACCTGGATCAGGGGGTGCAGGGAATGCTAATAAAATTTGCAGGTGACACAAAGCTGGGTGGAATAACTAACACCCTGGAAGAAAGAAACAAAATTTAAAATGACCTTGATAGGCTGGAGCACTGGACTAAAAACAACAGAATGAAGTTTAACAGGGATAAGTGCAAAGTACTGTAGCTGTTGGGGGGGGGGGGACACAGTTACAAGACATAGTAACTGTATACCTGGCATAGCTATACTACAAGCCAGAAGGATCTTGGCATCATCGTAGATCACAAGCTGAATAAATCCAAAAGTGGTGATGTGGCTACAAAAAAGGCAAACGCTATTTTAGGCTGCATTAACAGACGTATAGTCTCCAAATCCCACAAGGTACTAGTTTTCTTCTATTCAGCACTGCTTAGGCCTCATTCTGAGTACCGTGTCCAGCCTTGGACACCACACTAGAAGAAGGATCCTGACAAATTGGAACAAGTTCAGATGAGGGCGACAAGGATGATCAACCTCAGTTTTCTCTTGAATGCCTCTAGTGCCTCACCACCTGCCAACGAAATTGGTTCGGAATATTTTCCTGATATTCAGTTGAAAACTGGCTTCCAGTAACTTATTACATGTCCTGCACTGTGTGATAATCAAGGACAGATCCTGTCCCTCCTTTGTATGACAACGTTCCAAATATTTGAAGAGTGCTATCGTATCTCCCCTCAGCCTTCTTTTCTTAAGGCTAAACATGTCAATTTCTTTCAGTGTTTCCTGAAAGCTCTTGGTTTCCAATCCCCTGATGATCCTTGTTGCCCTCCTCTGGACTTGTTCCAGTTTGTCAGCATCCTTCTTCAAATATGGTGTCAAGAAATGAACAAAGGGCTCAATGTGAGTCCTAAGAGAGGGAAAATATTGCTTCATATTTGGAGACTATTTCTGCTAATGTGGCTTAAAATAGCAGTTGCCTTTTTGTAGCCACATCACACTGTAGGCTCACACTTGGGATCTACAAAAATTCCAAACCCCTTCTCACTTGTAGTATCACTAAACCAAGTAGTGCTCCATCTTGTAACTATGCTTTGGGGTTTTCCCCCCCTTAGGTGTAGAAATTTTCACTTTTCACTGTTAAATTTCATTCTGTTGTTTTCAGCCCAGTGCTTGAACCTATCAAGATCTTTTCAAATTGTCCTTCAGATTGTCTTTCTCTTTTCCAGGGTATCCACTATTCCACCCAATATTGTAGAAAATTATCAAATTTGTAAATTTGATAATTGTTCCCTACTGTGCTCATCCAAGTCATTAATAAAAAGGACTGAGCCTTCAGTTTGAGAAGGAGACATTGGTAAGCACTCTCTAAGTATGATTCTGTAATCAACTCTGAACCCAGCCCACATCTAGTTAGCTTCATAATCAGAATATCGTGCACTTTGTCAAAAGCTTTGCTGAAGTCAAGATATATTACATCTACAGTAAGGGTCTCCAAACTATGGCCTGGGGGCCACATCTGGCCAGTCTTGCCATTTTGTCCAGTCCGCCCAGACTCTAGGACCTTTCCCACCCTGCTCTGCCTTCCTGCTTGTGTAGGATTAGTCTCCCACTTGTCACCTGCCCTAACGTGCAGGCTCTCTCTCTCTCCTCTCTCTCTCTCTCTTGACTCTAGAGCAGGGGTCCCCAACAGGGCTCTCTCCTGCACACTTTCTCTTTTCCACTCCATGTTCCAAGGAAGGACCAGGCCGCTGGGAAAGATGAGTGTCATGTAGGAAAATTAGAGCACACTGTACTGAAGGGAGGTGATGGCTGGCTGCAGAGTATGCACTCATGGCAGAGCTAACTGCTGGGATGGAGGCCGAATGGGTGAGCTGTAGGGAATTGGTGAGACTCCCCAAGGGTTGACTTGCAGCCTTCTGTCTCACAAAGGTGCACACTTCTTGCGGAGGAGGGAACAGTCTGTGGGTGTGGAGCAGGTCCTTGGGAGAATGGTCTTCCATGGAGTGAGTGGGGCCGGCTCCCTTACTGGCTCAGCACCTTTTTCCAGGCTTTAAGGCTGCCGTCTTTGTTGCCACTCAGGTCACTCCTATGCAAGCAGCTGCTCCTAGTGCCCTGGCTGCCATCCTGCCTTGCTGGCTCCAGCAAAGTGACAGGTGCTTGTGGCCAGCTGGGGTGTCCAGGCAATGCCTCTTGCCGGCAGCAGGAGGAGAAGGAGGTGAGAAGGGGGCTGGTCTTGGAGTAGGTTGGCCAAGCAGGGCCAGGTCTCCCCGGGCACCCTCCCAGGGCAACACAAAGCATGTCCTTCTGGGGCCCTGCAGACAAAAACAGCCAAGTCAGCAGGGAAGAGCAAAGGGCCTTGCCAGCACACAGTGAAGTATGATGAACCAGTATGGAGCCCGGGCCAGCAGAGGAAGGCCAGGTGGGCCAAGCCAGCCAGCCAGCCTGCCTTCCCCCCTCTGAGCTGATCCTGAGCCTGTTGTGGACGAAACACAAGACACTTCCTTTCTCAGAGGCTTTTAGGACCACCAACCTTGGGCGTCAATGTTGGGGTGTGCCAGGGGTGGGGGGTGATTCCAGGAGAAGGCTTGGAGGTAGTACCAGGGTGGGGACCTTGCCACCCTCTAAATGTGGATAGACTATAGCACCTATCATCATTGGCCTGGGCAGCTCAGAGGCCAGTGTCTGATGAGCCACAGGCAGAAGTTGGAAGAGGTCCCAGAATCCCCTCCCACCACCATCTCTTGGCCACTAGGATCACTGGCCCTAATGGCTGGAGGTTTCTGTGGTTTGTCATCCAAAAGTAACTTTTCCAAGTTCTGGAAGGCATGTGCTTTGGTCACTCATTTCCACCCCCTGGACACCTGACAATGTGAAATTTTACCCTTCCTGATTCATCAGAAGCATATTCAATCACAGGTCATCTGTTGTTTAGTGTGATTTTGGCCTCTTGCAGATTGCACTTTCGAAAGAATACAGTAGGACCTCCTTATGTCAAGTCCAACTATTGAGTAAGTTTATCCAATGAGCATCTTCAGTCCATTCTAATAATTGGCTCCTCACATTTGAAACCTCAGTTTGGCAATATTTTGAAATTAAACAAGCAGTTTCATAATTCCCATTAATATTGTAGTATACAAGTTCATTGATCCAAATAAAACTTATTCATTCATTATAAAAATGTTTTTTCTTCCCCTCTTCCCCCTGTTTTTCCCCACTTTGGCCCCCAAAAATGTGTAAAATATATGATGTGGCCCTCGTACTGAAAAATTTGGAGACCCCTGATCTACAGCATTACCACTGCCTACCAGGGAGAGTATCTGATCATAAAATTAGTTAAGATTAATCTGACAAGATTTATTTTTGACACATCTATATTTGCTTCTAGTAATTACAGCATTGTTTTCTAGGTGGTTGCAGAGGGACCACTTTATAATGCGCTCCAGAATTTTCCCTGAAATTAATGTCAGGCTGACTAGTCTGCAGCTCCTAGGTTCCTCCTTTTTGCCCTTTTTGAAGATGAGACAATTTAGCCCTCCTGCATTCATCCAGCACTTTACCCATCCTCCATGATTTCAAGAAAATAATAGACAGTGGTTCTGAGAGTTCTTCAATCAGTTCCAGTAGGTCCTAAAATCCAAAGAGCAAAAGCCATGGAACAAGACTAAACAATATTGAATCCTTTGGCAGCAGTTCCCACTCTGTTCCTTGCAAGAAGTTTATTTAGATAAGCATCAATGTTGGAGAGAAAGTGGGGTGGGGTAGCGACTATGAGATGGAAGGTCCTGATGCCTTCCTTAAAAATGTACTCTGATGGCACTGTGTGGTCCTTCTAGTATTCTTCAGTGCAGTGGTGGAACACTGAACCCTTTAGATGCTCTCAATGATGTATTGTGGTGTTTCCAAAGCCAGAGAGGCAGGCAATGTAGAAGAATGTTTTGGTTAGACATGCTGCTCTGCACAACAGTGCTTCTTCATCAGTCTGCCTCTGCACTATTGCACTATTCAATGCAGCATTAAGTTAACTCTGTCATCTTAGCCATACAGGTGTTCTTTAGGATTCCAACATACTCCAACAAGGGAAGTCTGTCTGCTTGGAAAGACTGTACTGTATTTGATTTAGCTGCCTGTCCTGCCTATGGCAAGCGCTGCTGAGTGCCTGCCTGTCAGTGTCCATTAGAAGTGTGCACAGTGGAAAATTTCTTTTCCATTTCAGTTCAGTTTCTTTTGGGAGTGCCTCTTTAGGTGTCAGTTTTATCATGCACAGCTCCTATTATTCGCCACAACAAGGGCTGCCTCTTTTAGGTCATTTGAGTTTGGAGGCAGTGAGGGAAGGAGGAAGAAGGGAAGCCTCTGGGTTAGCAAGACTGACAGTGGGGTAATGAGGTGAGGGAAGAGAAAACAGGGCTGGCAAGGCTGGCAGATGGACAAGGGGCCTTGCCCTGATTCAATATGAATGACTAGAGGGCTGGGACATGAATTATCTTTCTTCCTCCTTTTATTCAAGAGGATCAAATAACTAGTAAAAAAAGAGCTATCATGCCATTGGAACCTGTGCTCTGCCACAGACCAAGATCCTTTGTTTGGATGCCACAACAAGACAATGCTTGCTAATTAGTTTGCTCAGTTTCACAAAGAGATGAGTGAAGCAGAACTGGAGACACAGCATGTACCACTGCACTGCTTATTCACATAAAGCCAGGGCAGGCCAGGAATCCTACCTTAATATTATTTTATATAGGTGGAGTATAAAAAAAACCCTACCACTGCTCTGAAGTAAAGGAACTGATGAAAGAAACAATAGCCAATTGGGCAGGAGTCTTCATGCTGTTCCCTGAAATATCCTCTTGTAGAAGAACCAATTCTATGCAGAATCCTTAAGTGTTCCTTTAGTCAAAGTAATTGCAGGAGCACCACTGTCCTTTTTTAATTATGAACCACAGGAAGGCACAGCTGCACTTGAGAGCCATTTGGGCAGATTCTGTATTGTCATCCATGACTTCTTACAAATGTCTTTTTAAAAGGTACTGCAACTGGGTTCGGGATTCATGCCTATATTCTAGGCAAGGATGGCTAGATATTACACAAGGTTGCACAATATCCAGGGAATAATTTAGAAGGCCGAACAAGCTCATTACTTTTAATATAGTGTCTGAAATCCTGTTGCATAGTTCCATGTGTGCAACAGAAATGATGTCATCATTAGCAGCAAATGATCATCGGTTAAAGGCTTCCTTTGGCAATTTCAGGGTGTACACATTATGTATAAGTTGATGGACCCCCAAATAATGAAAGGAGTCTTTAATCAGTGACAATTTGCTGCTGCTAATTTTATCACTCTTGTTGTGTGCACAGAACTGCACAACAGATTTCAGCCAATATATATAACAGAGCCATTAAGAGTCATGCCTTGAGTAAGGAATGAGACATCTGTCACTTTCACTGGCATCTGTCAAAGCAGGACAGGGCAACCTAGATTTATATAAGCACTAAGGAGAAACTGAAAGACAATTGTTATTGAATTTATTTGTAACAGTATTGCCCAAAGATAATGGACTGAGAATTATACATTGGCATCAATCAACTGAGCATTTCCAAAGTGTTGCAGTGAATATGTTTAGATGACCCTTGTTTATTTAAATGAATAGCAATGGATAAAATTTGTACCTCATAGTCCAGATCCAAATAATCAAATTCCCCACTGATCCGGAAATTTTGTATATGTCTGTCAAGAGTAAGGTTGATGTTCCTCCCATGACGCTCTATTACTACAGAATGCCAATGGTGATCATCCAGGAGGCTACCGGTTGTAACAGATGTGTGACCATAAATTGAACCATACTGGTTGCTACCTAGGATGAAAAAGAAGAGAAGAAAATATGAGATATCTCAGACACAATGCCATGCAAAAAGCTGCTATAGAATAACCAATCATTCCACAATAAATATATTGCAGTGTCATTATGACAGTATGGCCAGAAGCAAATTACACAGTGACCAAAATCCTATTGCTAAGTGTAACCACTGAGCCTCGTGGCGCAGTGGTTAAAACGCTGTACTGCAGCTAAAACTGTGCTCACGACCTGGGGTTCAAAACCCAGGTAGCCGGCTCAAGGTTGACTCAGCCTTCCATCCTTCCGAGGTCGGTAAAATGAGTACCCAGCTTGCTGGGGGGGGGCAATGTGTAGCCTGTATAATTAAAAATTGTAAACCGCCCGGAGAGTGCTTGTAGCGCTATGGGGCGGTATATAAGTCCAATAAATAAATAAATAAATATAAATAAATAAATATACTAATGTAATTCTATTGAATCAATGGGGATTTGGTGAGTCAGCTCACCAGTGATTGAAATGGGTCTAGTCTAGTTACTTTAGTATAGGAAGACACAGCTAAAATTGCCCATGTGAATCAATTGACTTTATGGAGAAGGGTACTCAACAAATTCTCATTGATTTAATGGCCCTGCACTAGTGCAATTCACTACACTAAACAACCTGGACTTCCCAAGATACACAAGGAAGGAGCACCATAAACTGGGTAATGTACAACATTGCTAAATACCTGGCCATCATCTTATCACCATTGGTGGGATACTCAGACCACCACATTCACAACTCAGAGGAGTCTGCATCCAAGGTCAGGGAACGGAAACTAAATACTGATGAAACTATGGTATTCTTTGATATCACATACCTCTTCACCAGCATTCCTACTCCCAATGCCCTAATAACTGTAAAAAGGAGACTGGAAGAAGACAACATCCTCTCCACCAGAAGCAACCTCAACCTGGACCAGATATGCCTGCTCCCGACCCAGGAGGACAATGGAACAGTCTGAGACCCAGCGCCAACAGAAGAATCTGGTCATTCCTTATATGGTGGGTGTGTCTGAAAAGCTCAAAAGGATTTTTGGTAAACACCACATACCCGTGCACTCCAAACCCACAAACACACTAAGGCAGAGACTCATCCACCCAAAAGACCAACACCAAAACACAATAGGAGTGATATATTATATGTGGTGCAAAAAGGAGTGTTCAGAGCTCTACAATGGAGAAGCAAACAGCCACTAACAGGAGAATGGCCCAACACAGGAGGGGCAATGGCTGAGGACCACAATCAGCAGTGTTCTTTCATTTGAAGGAGAAAAGACACACATTTTTGACCAAGAAGGTAGTTGGTTTGAAAGACAGTCAGGGAGGCCATACATGTGTATATAGAACAGGGGTGGAGGCCTTAGATACAATCTCTCTCCCATTCATCATGCTGCCCATTCATCTGTCCCCAGAAAGATTAGGGCCACACAGACCAGAAAGACCACTATTAACGACTGCTAACAACCCATGACAATGGATGGAGAAGGACTGCAGAAGCAGGATTATCCCTTACCCCCAGTCCTTTGTCCTTCTAATGAACCTATTCAGACCAGGAGAAAGTGAAACCAACATGGAGGAGATATGAAGGATCTCCTACCAACTCTCCTCAGACTGAAGAAGCTACTTGGACGAGTAGCGAAAAGTTTTAACCTAACAAGAAAGTCATGTTGCCATGACTCAGCATCCAGATAACCTCACCTGGTGACTGACAATCTTCACAGACTAAACAGGGTTTTGGCAAATGTTGCCAAATGAGATCCAAACAAAGCCATGTTGTCTTTTGGCAGCTTAGAGGCTAATACATTTATCAGGGCATACACTTCTGTGAATAAGATCCACTTCAGATGCATAAAGTGTTAGCCTATTTGCAAAGCATGTATGTATTTATGGGAGTGGGGATAGTACACAGTGAGGCTAGAAAGAAATGAAACGGGGAGGAAAAACAGACACTGGAAATTTTGCAATTAATGGTGACCATTCTCAAAGCATTGAGGTGAGTAATACAAATAAGCCAATGAACACAGCTAGTCTGTTATCTGATTCATTTCATAGGTAGTATAATGGTTTGTGCTGTCAAGTCAGAATCAATTTATAGTGACCCTAATAGGATTTTCAAGATAAGCGAGATATTTGAGGGGTGTTTTTACCAGTTCTACTCTTCTAGTGAGTTTCCATGGCCAAGTGGGGATTCAAACCCTCATCTCCAGAGTCCTTGTCTGTGTACTACACCACACTGAGTATCTCAGTACAAAGGTACTATAATCATACCTCCTGATAAATTATAACTCAGTGGTTTCACATTTCAGTTTTCTTTCAAATTTCCTTTTTTTTCCATGATGGCAGAGTGTCCTCAGACGCTGAAATTTTCCCTATTTCCTCCCTCTCTTTACATTGCCATTTTTGAAAGATTTCTGTCCATTTAAAGTTTTATATAGATACTTTTCTGTTTGACCTATGCAGAACACAGAAGAGCAGTGTTGACTGTCTTCCTCTCGGACTAGAAGATGAGCATGAAAATAGATGTTTGACATTTTGGTGATACTGTTAGGTCCTGCAGCAGTAGTTCCTGGGTAGGGATGTATGGTGACACAGAGTTGGCATCTTGATCTCTGTATTTGTATCACTTATTATAACGATTAGCTCTTACAGATTATGGGGCTGTTGGCAAGCAAGAATTATCCTTCCACCAAAGTATCAGTGACCAGAATTGTATTAGTTATTTATGCCAGTGTAAATGCAATAGCGTGCACTGTAATTGTGGCTACTCTTTAAGCAGCAGCAATTCATGGCAGCCATTTACACTGCTGCACTTACACCAGTATAACCTCAGGAGTTTATGAGTGCTCCAACACTGGAGGCATTATCTGAGGTATTTTCTAAGGAAAGAAATGGTAAAGAAACACTGGATTCTATACACTTCTTATACAGAAAGGTCCCATTCAGGCTTCAGCATTTTGAAGTATGGCTGGGAAACCCTGGGATGCCCTGTTCAATTACTCTGAAATTTGGAATCATCAGTGCAGTTGAAGGGGAGAGGCTAGCTCTATCCCTCTTCTGTTGTGTTGTTCATATAAGCAATGATGAGTCTGAAAAGCCAAGTGGCTCTGCTGATGTGGAAGCTCTACGCATGAACAGCAAACAACCTTGGAAAAACTGGGTTGTTGTTTGTATATAGAATTTACATGCAGGCAGAACTGCTCTCTTTAGCTCTCCTTGGATCCCACAATACTGAAAAAAAATGCCAACCAATCTCTAGTGTCCAATTCTTGGTCAAGGTGTTGGAGTGAGTTGTGGCTTCTCAGTTTCAGGGGTTCCTGTATGAGACGGATTATCTAAATTCATTTCCATTTCTGACTTCAGGCCTGGTTATGGGATGGAGACTGCTTTGGTCTTTTGCTATGATTTATGCTGGGAACTGGACAGAGGGAATGTATCCCTGTAGGTTCTGTTGGACCTTACAGCAGCTTTCATTACCATTGAACTGTCTCTCCAGGATGGGACTCAGAGGGACTGTTTTACTCATCCTTCCTGGAGGAGAGAACCCAGAAGATAGTGCTGGGTGACTCTGATGTGACACTCTGGCTGCTAGCCTGCAGGGTCCCTAATGGTTCTATTTTGTCTCCCATGCTATTTAACATCTACATGATACCGCTGGGAGAGGTTGTCTAGAGTTTTGATATTCTATGTCACAAGTACACAGATGACATCTAACTATTTATCTCCTTGCACCCTAAATCTAAGGAAAGTGTTTCAGCTCTAGATCAGAGGCAGGTATCAGTAATGGACTGAATGAGGGTGAATAAACTGAAACTTAATCCAGACAAGAAAGAAGTGCTCCTGGTCAGTCAAAAGGAAGATCAAGGAATAGGGGTGTAGCCTGTGCTAAATAGGGTTACCCTCCCTCAGAAAACACAGGTATGCAGCTTGTGTGTTCCTGGATTTATCTCTGAACTTGGATGCCCTGGTTTCACTGGTGGCCAGGAGTGCCTTAGCACAACTGAAAATAGTGTGCCAGCTGTGCCCATTCCTGGAGAATCAATCTGGCTTGGGTCCAAGCTAGTTAAAGGACTGTGTATTCCTTCATGAGCCTGCTTTGGTGTTAAGATCATCAGCAGAGGTTTTCTCTTGGTACCACCACCTCCACAGCTATATTTGATGGGAGCATGGGAGAGGTCCTTTCTTTGTTGTTGCACCCAGACCTTGGAACTTCCTCCCACAAGAGGCCAGGTTGGCTCTATCTTTATTGTCCTTCCACAAGCAGGCAAAGACCTTTCTCTTCAGGCAAGGTTTCTCTCAGTGACTGGCTGCCTGATGAACTAGGCATCCTTCAGTCTCGAGAGACTATGGTATCGTGCTCTGCATGGAGGACTTGGAACAGCTTCTAGTGTGGCTGAGAAGGCCAATTTGAGATTGACAATCCCTTACACACTGAGGACAAATACAATCTGTACCCCGTCTAGCTCCCTGATTTTGCTGCTTTCGTAACTGCCTCTTTGCCTCAGCCTGCTGGACAAGGGTATCTTCAAATTGGGAGAGGCCATGATGCACCGCTTGCCTCCAGGCTGAATGCTCAGATGTCAGGATTTGCCATCTGTCGAGATCCATTTCCAAGGCCTTCAGATCCCGCTTGCAGATGTCCTTGTATCGCAGCTGTGGTCCCCCTCTGGGGTGATGTCCCTGCACTAATTCTCCATACAGGAGATCCTTTGGAATCCGACCATCAGCCATTCTTACAACATGCCCAAGCCAACGTAGACGTTGCTATTTCAGTAATGTATACATGCTAAAAATTCCAGCTCAGTCTAGGACTACTCTACTTGGAACTTTGTCCTGCCAGGTGATACGAAAAATG